ACACATCAGCTTAAAAGTAATAAATAATTTCTTAAAAGATTTTTTTTACCAATATGAAATAAGAAGCTGATCAATATATATAATCTTATCCTTGCAAATAATTTGTTTTTTGTTATGTGCAAATTTCTTTGAAAGATAGCACAAGATGGTTTGTAACATCAATTAAAAGCAATGTGGTCAATGAAGGTAATAACACATCTCATACAACAAACGTAATGCTTGTTTGTGGGACTTTGCATTCTCTTGAAGGCGAAGCAATGACTCATTTTGGGCGTTGCCATCTCTCGAAGATTCGGATTGAAGATTTAAGTTTCATTTACATTGACGAATTCAATCACGTACAATCTATATGATGATTGAATAGCCTGATTTATCTAACATATAGTCAGAACAATGTAAGCTAAATTAAGTAATCGATTTAATCAGTAAAATATTAATTCGAGAAGCCACCGACTAAAGTGTTCTACTTAACCCAACCAACAAATTCGATGTTCTTTTATCTCATTGTAGTCGAACCTCTACAAGGTTTGAACAAGAGCTTAAATATTAAGCTCACTAAGGAAAAGTGAAGAATCACAATAAAGAGCTTTACACAACCTTCTTGAAAAGACTTGAGTAGTTGATGTGGTGAGGCTTGTCCCCATTAAATAAAACTCATAACATGTCCTTCAATGTCTTCCTTCCTTGTGATGCCAATCCTTTTCAGCTCCACACAATAGAAAATCTTGCAATGTTTAGAAAACTCATATTTGCAAATATCATTATCATTCTTGTGAACATATATCCATCTAGAAAAATCAAATTAGACTACTGTTAGCCATAGCTAATATTAACTAATACTCAAAGATAGTAAGCCTATATATGCTAGTTTTTAGATTTTTTGCTAGGTTGCATATAGGAAACATAAATAATATAAACAAATTAAGCGATTCACTTGAAAGGTATATATAAATATATAGAAAAAAAATGTACAACCCTAATGTCCATAAATTAAATATAAACAAGGTTTTAGGATTTGCTATGATGTATATGGTATTCATAAATTAATATTTGTGAGGACAGCTCAAAAATGTTGTGATGCCATCGTTTGAAGGAAAGGCAACTCAAATCGATGACCCTACCACGAGCTTAGATATTGCATCATAAAGCAGGTTGGTTGGGGGGAGAGAGAGAAAGAGATCGATCGTAGGGACAGTGGCTGAAAAAGAACATGGGGGTATTTATTGGTCCAAGTACACGGACAGGATTAGGGTTCAAAGGATGATGATAGGAGAGGACTCTCGGTCAACACCCCCACGTCGAAGCAGACATCCGTGCATGGGCTTTGTCCGCAAACCGCGTCGGTTCATGTGATGTGGATCACGTACAGTTTGCGAGGACGAGCGTCGGCGGCCGCTGACACAGCAGCGATGGACGAAACGTGGTGGCGCCGCTTCGTCTCTTCGTCCACGGTAAACGAAGAAGACCGTCAAATCCTTTTGCATGGGTGGGGAGTCGGACGTGGTTTTATTGCGCTACTGCAGATTGATGTGAAGACGGATACTGCCAACGCAAATAAACAACTCCAAAGAATATTGCTGAAGTGAAGAAAGCGATCTTTAAACAGAGCCTCACGCGGAGACGCATTAAAGTAGTGCAGTACAGCCCTTCTTATGTGGGCGCGATTCTTATTGGCGTTACCATTTTATCTCACTACTCAATTCTCACCCACTTATATAGAAACATTAATATCATCAGGTTATGAACTCTTTGTTCTATAGAAAAATGAAGATTAAAGCCATGTCTTTATGGTACAGTAGATTGCACGCAACCAAGTTGCATTAATGAATCTCAAAAGCCAAGTGGACATGCCCCAAATTTAACCAAGCTAAATGCAGCTCATACGTGTCGCCGATCCACCGCTTATGTACTCAACAAACGACCATGGCTTTGAAAGCTTCGGATAGAAGATTACAAGAACCAATTCAACCTCACCACAGCTTTCCACAGTCATAAGAATGAAACTTGACTACAAGTTCCCTACGTTGGTCCAAATCCACCGAAACTATGTTTTATGTGGGTCTTCTTCTTGATTTCCTTGCTCTTTTGAGCTCAATTAGCAGAAAGCTTCTCGATGGAGGGCGCGGCAGTTCCAACGCTATCTCTTTTTATCTTTGTGCAGCTGGCACGCGGCTCTGTTTGCTCTATATAGCACAATCTGCATGTAGTTGTGAAGCTCATCACCTCTCCATTAATGACTCCCTCCCTCCTCTATCCTCTCCGCAGCAATACCGGCATCATGGCTTCTTCCCGGCCCACCTTTGCTTCTCTGCTCCTCCTCCTCCTCCTCCTCCTCCTGTTAACGTCCGCCCAGGGCAGCTCCTTGAATACTACGGCATGGCATCCGGAATGCGAGACGCCCAAGGCACCGCGGCGGGTGTCGTCGTCGGCCAGCTCCTTCGTCCCCTCTGCAGACTTCGTCTCCACCCTGCAGTCTACCCTCGAGGAGATCAAGAAGGTCATGTCACTTGTCTCTACCTTCTCTGGAGTTCTCGGAGGTGACCTCCGCCTCTCCTCCGCCGTCGACGACTGCCTCGACCTCCTCGACCTCTCCTCCGACGAGCTCACCTGGACCCTATCTGCGTCCCAGCGCACCACCGCCTCCGCGTCTGCCTCGGGCGCCGGGAACCGCCGGTCCGACCTCCGCTCCTGGATGAGCGCCGCCCTTGGGAACCAGGACACCTGCAAGGAGGGCCTCGACGGGACCGGCGGCCTTGTCGAGACCCTCGTCGCCGGCGGCCTCGACATGGTCACCTCCCTCGTCTCCGACGGCCTCCGCGAGATCGCGGCGGGCGGAGGGACCGGCGGCAAAGGCGGCAGCAGGAGGCTGATGGGGTTCCCGGAGTGGGTGTCGGCGGCCGACCGGAGGCTGCTGCAGGCCCAGCCGACGACGGTGGCGGATGCCGTGGTGGCGCAGGACGGGAGTGGTAACTACACGACGGTAGAGGCGGCCGTGGCGGCGGCACCGACGGAGGGCGCGCGGAGGTACGTGATACACGTGAAGAAGGGGGTGTACAAGGAGAACGTGGAGGTGAAGAAGAAGAAGTGGAACCTCATGCTCGTCGGTGACGGCATGGGCCAAACCGTCATTTCCGGCACTCGCAGCTACGTCGACGGCTGGACCACCTACCGCAGCGCCACCTTCGGTGAGTCAAAAGAACCCATCCTTCACCACGTCACGGCATTATCCTTCTCTAACACATATCCAAAGTCAAAATTGGTCAATGCTTCGTACTTGTGTAGTCAAAAATAGTCGTCCTACCGAGAACACGACACCGGTCACATGCGCTGCGGCGCATCAAAGGAAGAGACGGAAGAGACCAAGTTAAGTGACGTGACCGTCACCGGCTTTTCTTCCGGCTTTAGGTCCTTTAGACCTGGAGAGTGTCGGTGTGTCCCAACCTCCCTTTCCTTTGGCTCTCTCATGCTCTGGATCTCGAGAGAGCCACGCCGGATGGCGAAGCTTTTGTGTGAGGTCCTCGGTACCCGTATTACATTGCCGGCCTTAGCGTTCATTTGTTCATGCTATTCCCGTGTCTGCTGTCAAGAATCGTTCCTCAAGTGGTCTCTCGATTGCCCTCCTGGTCTGATCGAAGCTATGTTTGGATCTGACAAGATGCCACTGGCCTCAGATGGAAATATCATTCCTCCCCATCGTCTTCAAACCGTCCTCAGCTGCACCCACCTATGTGATTGAAGGCCACCATCACCATCAATCTCCATGTGCTCTCGAGTCAAAAGCGAGTCCATTCTTTACGCTGCATGCATCTCTCTCTCTCTCTCTCTCTCTCTCTCTCTCTCTCTCTCTCTCTTCTTTTGGGGAATACGTGTCACCGAATGTGTTCTTGCAGCTGTCGCCGGCAAGGGGTTCATCGCCCGCGACCTGACGATCGAGAACACGGCGGGGCCACAGAAGCACCAGGCGGTAGCGCTCCGCTCCGACTCCGACCTTTCCGTCTTCTACCGCTGCGAGTTCTCCGGCTACCAGGACACCCTCTACGCCCACTCGCTGCGGCAGTTCTTCCGCGAGTGCCGCGTCACCGGCACCGTCGACTTCGTCTTTGGCAACGCCGCCGCGGTCTTCCAGAACTGCCAGCTCTTCCCCCGCCGGCCCCTCCCCGAGCAGAAGAACTCAGTGACCGCCCAGGGCCGCAAGGATCCGAACCAAAACACCGGTTTCTCCTTCCAGTTCTGCAACGTCTCCGCCGACGCCGACCTCGTCGGCTTCACCAACTCGACGCCCACGTACCTCGGCCGGCCGTGGAAGGAGTACTCCCGCACCGTGTTCATGCAGTCCTACCTGGGCTCGTTGATCCGACCGGAGGGGTGGCTGGAGTGGAACGCCGAGTTTGCCTTGGACACACTGTACTACGCCGAGTACATGAACTACGGGCCGGGTTCCGGGTTGGGGAACCGAGTCAAGTGGCCAGGCTACCACGCACTCAGCGATCCGGCCATGGCTGCCAACTTCACGGTGGCTCAGTTCATAGACGGAAACATGTGGTTGCCGTCAACTGGTGTGAAGTACACAGCTGGGTTGACCGTGTAATTATATATATAGAGAGAGGAAAAGTTTCAGTAATTATAATTTGTTTACTCTCATAATATAAGTCAATAGTTGTTTTGTGACTGTGAGAGGCATTGATGGGGCAATGGAGTTGACTTTATGAATCTCTTCTCTTGTTTCTTATCCTTTTCTTTGGAAAGTCACGTAATTATTATATTTTTGTTGTTTTAGGACCAAATAACGTATTACATTTTTCTTTTTCTTTTTCCTTGGAGAGGAAAAAGTATCATTAATGGTTGCTATTTATAAGGTGGGAATGAAATATTCATGAAATAAATAATATTTCAAAGATTATAATATTTGGAATAAGATTAGTGAGTGTAAATATTATTTTCCCATAAGTTAGAACTTAGATATGTAAAATCGCAAAAAATTAAAATAAAAATAAATAAAAGAAAAAGCGCCTTCATACAACATGCCTCGCTGCCCTCTTCCCCGACGGCCTTTTCCTCGCCGCTTGCACGCCCCCTGCTGTCTGCGGCACCGTCGTTTGCCCACGCCCCAGCGAATCCACTCTCCGCGTCATTCGCGAATGCATCCACCGATTCTATCAGGAAATCCAAACCCTCGATCGCCATGGCCAGATTTGGGAGAAGAGAGACTCGCATTCGTATATTTCCCGGTCGAGGAGTGGCTCTCTCCGCGGCGGACGTCCAGACCGTGTACCCGATCCTCTCCAATGTTTTGAGCCTCGATGAGTCCGCCCTCGCCCAGATCGAGAACCGCCCGGAATTCTGCTCCTGCTTTCTTGTAATCTTTACAAACCCTTCTTGCTTTCTTGGGTTTCTATTTCGCCCGTGGTTCGTTTCAATTCGACGATGAATTCAACTCAAGAACTTGGGAAATGGTGGACGCAGGAGATCGTCACGGCGAGGGATTCGGGTCGCCGGGATGATGTTCGCCTCCTGGCCTCCGTGTATTTCTAGAACAGTATCGGTCGCCCCTGGAGGCCTCGCCGTGATATCCTGACAGCTGTCCCACTCGAAGCATGGAACTTTCCATGGTTTGACTGCTGTGAGTTTTACTCAGTATGCCTTTGTGTGTTTTTTCGGATTTATTTTGATAAAAATCCACGAGAATTTAGATCAAATCTATTAATAAAATTTCTGAAGGATGCACAAATTGGATGAATTCGAATGGTGAGGTACAACTTTAGAGTGCTCTGATGGCATATTAATGAATTATTACAATTGCATCACTGACTTGTTCCATTGCCCTGCTCGCTTATAAACATAATTACAAATAGGTGCATTGGAGATGGGACATGAATTGAGATGGTTCAAAGATTATGACTGCGGAGGGCCTTTTCACTTGATCTCCTCTCCATAAAATTTGGGATTTGATAATAAGAAGATTTTCTAATGACTTAACTTAATGATTTTTATTCTAGCATCTCTGTTTTTTGATGCATCCTGATATATTTAGACTGCCTAGTGACCCTTTTATCTTTTTGTTATTGTTTGCTCTATATTTCACATTCATTTTTAAGAACATTGTTTGCAATGTTTGCCCCTCTTCTTATACAATTCACTGCTTAAAGCTTCCATTTGTTAATTTGTTTTTTCTTCGCCCTTTAAGTACAGCTACCAAAACCCAAGATTGCCAATAATTGTGTCGATTTTATTGATGACGTGCAAAGAGTTTTCTCCTTAAAAGGAAAGGAGAAAAAAGGTAAGATATAAAATAAGCGAAAATATGACTCCTGCCAATTTTCTTGTCATAATGGATTGAATAGATTTTAGTCTATGCCTGATGTACCTATTTATAATTACATAAGGTAGGTGTAGTTCAGTCAAACGCTTTTGATAATGGTGCAGAAGAAAAAAAACCAGAGAAATCTTCTGCAGCATCTGCATCTTTCCTTTTTATTTTTTATGAATACTTCTATGTAGTCCCTTAAGATGTCCATTGTAATCTTGTTCACGATAGGGGGAATGATAAAGAATAAATGTTGAATATTGTACTTTTTACTCGTTGAACTTGGACCCAAGGATTTAAATACCGGATGGACCCTTACATATTGATTGGTGTTTTATCGGTTTTACCAAGTACTAGAATAGAAGCTTATAGCTTGGCACTGGCTTTAAATTATTGTTATTATTTTATTCAATGACACTGGAGGGTATTATTTGGTATACTGCTTGGTGTCTGGTATTGTACTGGTCTCATAGATTACTGAAAGCAGTACGAACAAGTACTTAAATCCATGGCAGGACTATCAACTTAGTATAAGGAACCAACAAATTCAATGATACGTCACACTGACTGTGCTGCACTGAGCAAGGTAATTCTCTTGAAAGGAACATCTTGAAAGAATGTTTAATATTCTTGTTATTATTTCTTTCATACACTGAATTCTTCATTGGCCTTGCATTCATTTCTTTCTCATATATATTTCAGATCCTACCTGATTCTCCAAGTTTGACTTATTAAAGTTTTGTATGGTGATTACGTTGAATTTATCAAATTCTGATAGAATTAAGCTTTTCAACTCATGCAAACTTAGATTTTGCATCTTATTGCATCAGTCATATTCTACACTGAACATAATCAAAGTGATGCTTTATACTAATTATTATTACTGCTGTTTGCAGCACATGATCACCTATTTTGTAGTTCTTCGCTATTAATTTATTATGCTTAAATGAACATGGACATATTTATTAATTATTTGTCAATCAATTTCATTCGATCTGTAGTGCTTTTTTATGGAGGCCCCTCCACTGATTACTGGAGTTCTTCAGGTACTTGAGTCTTCTATTGGATTGACAAAGCTTGTATGAGCATTATACTTGGCACATTTTCTCATACTTCTGATAACTGGGCACTGCTTTCTAGAAACTCATCCTAACATGTTTGAGCGAAGAAGATGATCATAATCCTTCCGTGACACCAGTGTGTGCTTCTTCTGCTGCCATTTTTGACAGGGTGTTGGTGATGAATACCAACTATTTTGCTCAATTAGCATCTGAACCATCTCTTTCTATGGCCCTTCAGCAGGCAGGGCTTTCCATCAGCCAGAATGTAATTCTTTGTTTGGCTCATAAATGGGTTGATAAGGTTAGAAATGATATGAACCTTTGCCTTCAAATTTATTCACTGCTAATTCTTCTTTAGCCTAGCTTTAGACATGTGTGATTGCTTTAGCCAGCTTTGTATGCAACATATTTTCACATCTTCATAGCTCTTGTTGATGATTTCTTTATAGTCTTGCCCGAAGAGGAACTGCAGTGATCTTGAATAGGGATCATACAATGATTGATAGAATCCCCGTAAAAATACCAGTAGGTCAAGCCATCAGCGATTTTGTATTGGGTCAACATTTAGAGAAGAGATGAGTGTTTGTTGGCATTTCAGCCTTCGTTCTCTAGTGGGTCAATACACACACACACACACACGTATGTATATACATATACATATATGAATGTATATACATATATATACATATGTATATACATATATATACATATGTATATACATATATATATATATATATACATATATATATATATATATACATATATATATATATATATGTGTGTGTGTGTGTGTATGTGTGTGTGTGAAGATTCAGATCCAATTATACAGTTACAATTGAAAACTATGCTGAAAGACAAAGTAAAAGCTTGTGTTTCTTTTCATGGAGGTGCATCTTTTGATGCAGCTATTCCAACCATCAGCACTTGTTCAGCTATAGCAGGCATGAAAGATGGTTTAGAAATTTTGATATGTATTCTTTATTCTTTTTGTGTGTGATGCCTTGTGTTACTCTATAGGTGATTGCATAATGAGTCTTGATGCATCCATAATTTTATTCGTCTTTGGAAACAAATCAACCGGAAACTAATATTTGAATTATTTGTTTCAGGTATTTTGTAAAGGGTGTAGCTTGTTGACTTTTCGTCCCACATTGCTCTGGATCCATCCGACTTTACTGACCTTTCGAAAATAACAATCACTGGAAGTACTTCAAACTCGCAGCCGGATGTCCATCTCGAATGAATGAATGTTCAACTCCGGTTCATTTGGCTGAAGGGAATGTGTCCCTGAGAAGCAGGTAACACTTTTAGATACCCTGCTACATGGTGATTATTCATATTTGCACATTTCCGTCAGTGGCTGTGTAGAACTTGGAATGGGAATTCAAAGAAATATAACTCGTCATGGAAAATAATCTTTCTTGCGTGGGTAAATTACCAATTGTTTTTTGGGAATCATTTGATCAATTATATGAGTTAGAACATAGTCCCTGCGAATATTTACTTACTGAATGGGAGCATCATAATCATATTGTCGAGCTTAAACCCCAGCGTAGTTGCTGCATTTACAATTTACCTCAGTTTGAACAAGCATTTGATATGAATCATTGGTGCCATGATGTACAATTATTGATACAAACAATGGAAGAACCGAAAGCAATGTTCTTATTTATTGCCCAACATTTATTCTCGTCACTTCTCATAATGCTTCCTCTTTCCTCGGATGCCAATAGGTGAAGCTGCAATGGCTGTGCAAACTTGAAATGCTTTCTCATCAACAGTACCATATACTACGGTTCGTCCTCGAATCATATGACCCAACCACAAAATGAAAAGCCCGCAAATGTCGTCTTCGGTTATTCTTAGTTTGGGGTTGCGGCAGCTGTCACTTACTTGGCACAGGGGCATAACTATGAAAAAGCTGGCCGTCGCCTTCGTCTTTCCCATGCACCGTACTCCGCCATAATTTTGTAGCCATCTTTGGGTGGCCGCAGCGTGACTGAGGTAAAGAGAAGGCGTCATGTGGGCCATCTGCAACCACATATCTTTAGAGGCGAGGGAGAGTAAGTCCCGACCCCACATAATCCATACTGCATGAGCTTGGCCGAAAGCTGAGGAAGAAGACAGGCCACCTCAGCTCTCTCTCTCTCTCTCTCTCTGACTCGAGTAATGACCACAGACACAATCATGCATAAAGTGAGATGAGAATGTACTCAAGTTTTATTCGGAGCACCGAGAGAGGGGCAGTGGAGCATCCCCGCCCCCGCCCCCTCCCCCCCATGCTCTTGGTGTGTGTGGTTCTCGTACTGAAAGCATGAGAGACACAAGTGCTTCAACTTGCATCACTTGGAACAGTTGCCCAGACTCCATCAAGAAAATACTCTCTGTGCGGCCGCTTTATAATCTGAGAGGTCAGAATTTGAGTCACAAAAATAATCCATTCTCCGAAACTACGGAGAATGTTGCAATGATAAAGGACGAGTGCATGGGAACATCAACTTTCACATGTAGGAGTAACAGTAAACCACACCATCCAAAGAACACCTTCCTATTGAGATCATCAGTCCCATGTAAACCGACCGAACCGCCATTACAAGAGCCACATAGAGGAGCAGCAGCAGCACTGCCAGCCCTATCCTCGTCTGCCATTCCCACGCTGCAGCAATTGGAATATTCCGAGCATGTCCTCCCCCCTTCTCCCCTCCACCCACCCACGACCAATTCTGTTCTTCCATCCCCTGCCCAATTGAGCTCCTCTGCGCTCCTCACTTCCTCCCAACCATCACTATCCCACCCTATAATTCCCACACTCGAAGCCAACTCCCTCACTCTCTCTCCTCCACAAGCCATCAGATCAATGGAATCCGCAACGCTTCTGTAGTCCGTGCTGTAGTTTTCCCTGCTGCAATCGTCGGCGTCGTCACGGAACTCCGAATTGGCCCACTCGAGCACTCCCCTAGGCGTCTCGATGTCTGCTTCAGCTAAGAATGGGTGCCGCAGTAGCTGCTCCGCCGTCCACCTCTCGGTCGCGTTCCTTCTCAAACACTTGTCGAGAAAATCGCGGCCGAGCTCCGACAGCCAGGGAGGGAATTCCGGCAGCTTGTCGCCGTAGCCGACGAAGAACATAGCAGCCTCGGCATCCTTGGGCGCGTAGTCCGGCCACGGCTGCGCTCCGGTCGCCATCTCGATGACCGTGCAGCCGAGCGACCACACGTCCGACGCTGGCCTCGGCCGCTCCCCCCTCGCGACCTCCGGCGCCATCCACAGCGGCGTTCCCCGCACGCTGTTACGCTCGCCTCCATCGGAAATCCTCACCGCGGCGCCGAAGTCCGCGAGCTTAGCGACGCCAGGAGCTCGGCCTAGAAGCACGTTTCGGCCCTTGACGTCGCAGTGCACGACGCCGGCGACGTCGTGGAGGTAACGAAGCGCGCAGGCGACGCACCGAACGTAAGCTCGCACCTCGAGCTCGTCCATGGGGCAATTCCCCTTCTTCTTCCTCGCAGTCTCCAAGTCCGCCGCGGTGCCGCAGGGCATGTACTCCATGTGCAAGTTGCGGCACGCGCCGGCGCGAGCTTCGCGGGTGGTGTCGTCGCCGAGGTACTCGACGACGTAAGGCGAGCGGAGGGACTTGAGGAGACGAATCTCGTTATCGAGAGCAAGGGTCGGAGCGGGGTTGGAGGAATGCAGAGGGACGGACTTGACGGCGAAGACTTCGCCGCTGGATTCGTCCAAGGCGAGGCTGACGGTGCCGAAGGAACCGCTTCCGATGACTCGCCCCCTCACCCAACTCCTACTATCGCAGCGGCGGCCCTCCATGGTGAAAGGCTGGTATGGTGAGCTAAGACAGGAGCCGGGAGTGAGAAGGGAACGGAGCGGATGGAGGGCAGCAGAAACGGCAGGACCGGTATATATAGTTAGGCGTGCAGTAAATAAGAGCACGTGAGAGGGGAGAGAAAGGGGGGGAAGTGGCCAACGGTGGGAGCGGGGCGTGGGAAAAAGGCCCCACCGGAAACGGTTTCTTTGACGTAATGGAAATGGACGACGACGAACCCATCCGAATTGGGTCTTGATTTGGTCAATTCGATTTAAGCCGACTCGGCATCGAGTGACTGATTGCGAACGTGGTTTAAGTTTTGCTGGAGTTAAGCTCGTTTGACTTCATGGAGATGGCGAGACTGGTGGGATGGGCAAGTTCGACGTAGTGGTGGCTGCGTGGCTCGTGGGATGCGGTCGAGGGGCGCACGACGCTTGCTGTGGCCGCAGCAGCAGCAGCAGTAGACGTGCAGGACGACGACCGTCTTCCTTCCTCCTGCTGGTGGCGGTGGTGGGGATTCGGTGGGCGCACGTCATGGCCCAGAATGATGGCACGGCACGCCATGGCGTGCTCGCTTCCTGCCGCGCGGGAACACCGGCCAGCTCGAGATCGAGCACTGCATGCATATAAAGAAAGGGAATGATGGCTGTAATGCACGAGACATCTCGGCATCCATCTTTCTCCGTCCAACACCAACCGACGAAGCAGAGAAAGAAACGAAGGAACAAAACAGAGTCGCCCTGCCCTGTCTCCTGCTATAACACGAACAGATCATGGTCGATCGTATCGGTCCGATTCGGTGTCTCCTAACGAAGGAGCAGCCGTGGAAACGGGAGGTGATCCAAGAACAGGAGCTGGAGGCCATGTTCTCAGCAATGGAGGAGTTGATTACGGCGGGGTGTCTGCCGAGAAAGAGACATGCAGGCAAACCTGCATCGTGTTCAATTAACGACGGCGGCATTAACGTGCACAGTTTCTCACTTTGCGTGTTCTTCCTTAATATTTGGTTGGTGAAAAATAGGGAGAAGGAGATTCGGCAAGAATGTTAGCAAGGAAGATAAAAGGTGTGTTGTTTAGGGGATGTCAACATGGAGGGGAGGGGACATGAGAAGGGAAGCGTTTGAAGAATTCACGTAGTATTGAATGCAGTGAGGGCACAAAACATCACACACACCACATGTGTGTGATGCAGAGAAGGGGAAAAGGGGGGCCTCTCCTTCTCCTTTTCTTTTCGTGTCTAATACTGAGGTGAATTAGTGGTAGACATTTTAATTTTGTTGATTTTGATATTAATTGTGAAGATATGATTCGATAGAATAATTGTTTCATTAACTTATTGATGTTTTTGTGATGCTTAAATCTAAATTTAAATAATATATTATAAAATTTAGAGATCAAATCAACACGATTGATAATTAAACATGTTTAACATATTTTGTATGATTCAGTCAACAAGATTATTAACTGGGTCTTTTTGTATATGGAGTTTTATCTTAATACATACATGCCTCTCAAGTTAGCATTCTCTCTCTTTCTCTCTCTCTCTTGCGATTCATCTCATTTTAGATACAGTAAACGATCAGTATAAAGATAAAATTAGTGCATTGATCCTTCTCAGATTCAAGCACCAAAAGTTCTTATGTCTTAGATTCAAGCACATAACAAGGGTGACGGACCAAAAGAATTAGAGAGAGAGAGAGAGACAGAGAGATAGTTGTGGATGGACATTAAAGCCAATCCCACATGCGTAGCACACCATCAAACTCGGCACACGCTCCTCTCGAGGCAAACAGCAATAACAATGTCCACAGAGTTCGTATCTGACCACCCCTGAACTCCATAATAATGGCGACATGGAAAGCTGGCCTGCAGCTTTCCTCACCTCACCTCACCTCACCTCATCAATATAAACAATGTTGGAATTTGTGCCAAGTAGATATAAAAGAGTTTTTACCATGTCCGATCGATCGTATGATGGAAAGAATTAATCCTCTGTTCTGTTCTGCTATTCTGATCGAAATATTTATGTCACGTCCTCTGTTCTGCTCTGCTCTGCTCTGTTCAATATTTATGTAATATCGATCATAAAATGCAAAGAATTAATCCTCCGTTCTCTTCTGCTTCTCCGATCGAAATTACTGTTTAATATCCTATTCTAATCTCAAATAAAAAGTGAATAAAGATTAAAATTAAATCATAAATGTATGATTTTTTTCTTATTATTAACTTAAGTTTAAATTTTTGAAATATTTATTCAGGTTTTATAAAATTAATATTTTTTATTCTTTCAAAATAAAAATATATTTTTATGATAGTAATAAATTTTAAATAAAACTATTCCTATTTTCACTTCGGATACGTTTGACAATCAATAACCATATGATCCAATCGGATAACATATATTTTCTAAATAAAATAAATATTTATTATATCAATGATTCACATATGTTGTTATTTCAAAAATAATACTATAATATTAATATTTTTATTTATCAAAATAAAAAAAACTATATATTTTATGATAATAATAAATTTTAAATTAAACTATTTAAAATGATAGTTTTTTGAAGGAGTATTTTTTTAGATATTAAATGATTATCTGAGAATTAAAGAAAATATTAGAGCTTTGCGGCTGAGCAGCACCAACGGGGACGATGACGCCTGCTTGTCTTTCCCGAGACGAGCTGGCACGCAGTGGGGCGGAGGGCGGCGGGTCCCACGCCACCAGCCTCTGTTGCTGCAAAGCACGTAGCCAATGGCCGGAGACGAGCATTTATGGTCCTTTGCGGTGATGCAGTCACGAGTTGCCAGTCTCAATTTCCAAGGTTTTGGTTCGTCCCACGAAATATGCTGCCTCACGGCTTTGGAACAAAAGAAATGTACATCCATTGAACCATACATCTGTTGCGCAGTTCATCTTTGCCATTATACAACTCAGAAATGGCTTACAGATCACAAACAGAGCGATGATGTCACGCAGTATATGCCAAGCGAAGGTATATGTATCGAGAAAATTGTCCCACAAAAAAGCTCTGATTAGTTGTTGAACAGCTTTATTCAGATGTCAGATGCATCAGATTTCACATTCAGACATATAAACAGCATAGGATCAAATGAATGATTGAACCAACCAATATCTTGTACATGTAAACTACAACAACAATGTAATCTTCCTTTGCTACAGAATCATGTTCAGCAGATATGTGTGAGCTCTAATGCTTTATCCTTTCTCAGAAAGCTAAATGAAAGTTGATGGACATTCATCATCCAAGTCCTTTTTATTGGCAAAGCAATCGACGAGGGTGATCATAGATGAGCCCGATGTAAGTAGCTCTTCTCATAGAGTCCGGTTACTTGGTCAGCAACAGCCCACATTATGGCCTGCCCAGGTGGGATCCTCATCAGCCTGGGAAGCAATCCTTTCCAAAGCGCACGCAACCCTTCTTCGGCAAATATTGTTCTGATCGCATGCACCATGCCCTTGTATTTCACATCACCACCTGATCTGCTTTGGGCCATCAGCCTTGTCTTGACAACATCAAAGGGGCCGGTACAGATTGGCCCAGCAGTCCCCGCAAGAAAGCCTGAAATCATAGACTGCCACGGTTGAAGCACCTTGCCATCTCCTTCATGCTTCTTCCAGAGAACAACATCGAACGCATTTTTCGCCGTGAACATGGCGGCTTGGTTGGTTCCGTTACGCATGACGGTCGGTGCAGCTCCGGCCCAAAGACCCAAAATGCCTTCTTCGCGAATGATCATCCTTGCGCAATGTATGGGACCCTTGTACTTTAGAAGCTCCGGTCTCAGCCCCTTTTGTTGCTGCAGCCTAATCTTCACCACCTGTATTCATGAGATCTACATTAATGCTTCGCAACTGTGAAAGAGCACAAGTATGAAACAGCAATCCAGCACAAGTTAACTATAAAAAAGGAGAATTCTGGAGAAGAACACATGTCTAGCAAACGACACCTAGTGCTAATGAACCTGAAGTGCATGACCTTGTGTGCGGATATTATGCAGAGTCAAATGTTTGTAAATAAACAGGTTAAATCCAATCTCTTTCTAAATTTAGGATTTGTTCACTCCGCAGTTATATCTGATATCTACAGACCCAGAGCCCTGTTTATCTTCTTATTCTGAATTATGTGATAATCATTGGGTCATAAAGGTCTCAGCTGACTGACACAAAATTATTTTCTTGGCAATAGAATGTAAGGTGTATGCAGTTCCTAGCATTTCAAAGCAACTAAAAACTTCAAATACTGTAACAAAAGCTCAGTCCAATTTTATCCTAATGAAACCACTTGGTTTTCTGCAAAAAGAAGACTCTTGGATCTTCATTGTGCACAATGTCATTTCCTCAATTTGGTAATGTAAACAATACTTAAGTGAAAAATATATATATATAAAAAAAAAACTGAAGAATAAACATGTAGTTCGAGATGGTCGACATCTATCTTTCACACCCACTATGTTTTGAATAAAGGTTTGGCAACTTCCAGAAAAAGTTTAGAGAGGAATGCATATAGATTCATCATGAAGGTCCAAACCAATCACCTCTAAGGCAAATGGAGTTGTGCCTGCTGAGCTAAATCAATACGAGTTGCACTTATGCTGGTGACTCTTGCCGGACAAGGTGTGAGATAATTATCAGGTCTTCATGGGCAGACAACTGGATGGTTATACCAGCATTGTCCTTTCCAAGAAAACCTATGATTTAATGAGACTTTGGGGTAAAGATGCAAGTATGCTAAAGCAATATCATGATTAGGGAAGTATATCAATTTTAAGACCAACAAGAGATCTATATCAGTTGTACCAATACCTAATCGGTGGTCCTGAAACTTTTTCCGTGTACGAGATGTCAAATTCAATGCAGTGTCTGATCAAGAATGCCACATACCAATATGCTGATTATGACAACAATAAGGGGGATCACAAACTCATGTACAATATGAAAATGCATTCGAACAATGGCTTCCATAAAAGGACACTTGGTCTGAGGCAAATTCAATAGCATGCCTTAGTAGGAATGAAAGAACTCATAACACGATCTTTCTCCTTCAAAGGTTTGACCTCCTTTTCATACATTAATGTTAAGTGGATTGATATTGCAATAATCATTAGATCAAGAATATCAAGTTCAAGATTTTAGTATAATTTTTTCTCCAATAGATGACCAATTTAGAAACAGTAAAAAAGATCAAAATCTTTGACCTAAACAGCACGATAAAGATTGATGAGAAACATATATTAATAAGCAATCAGACAGCAACGACTACAATGACAATATCAAGGTCAGAAATTGGGAACTAGATAATAAGATGAGGGGCAGCGGGGCTCGCCTCGAAGGGGGTAACGATGACGAGGGCCTCGAGGACGCCCGCGCCAAATCCGGCGGCGACCCTGCCGCGGTTGGAGAGGTCGCCGGTGACGGGGTCCTTGAAGGCGGACTGGAGCAGGGCATTGGAGCCCATGCGGAGGGCGTACTTGAGGGTGAGGTGGGTGGCGAAGGGGGTGAGGCCCTTCCACAGGGCGCGCACCCCCTCGGTCCGAGCGGCGGTGGCGCCGCAGTGCACGATCCCGCGATACGCCCCGGTGCGGTCGAGCTGGAGCCGTGTCTTGATCACGTCGATGGGCTGCAGGCAGCACGCCTCCACGACCCCGCCGAGAGACCCCGCCAGCGCCCTGACGTGCGGCGGCGTGGTCCGGCCCTTCCTGCGGCCTCTTTCATCGCCAGCGCCGCCTGCTTCGCTGACGGTCGTGGCCATGTGGGATGAATCCCCAACGGAGATGGGGGAGGAGGGACAGACGGGTCGAACCGACGCCAAATCAGCATTTATTCAACGCTTTGAACCCTCATAGTTTAGTGTTGGTGTGCCCCGTCGGAACGAGATCGGATCGCCACCGTTGGTGGCGCATGTGCCGTCAAATACCCCTCCCCCCAAAAAAAAGGGCGTAGGCTTTCCGCCTGCCAACTGCGAGTGCGTGCGAGATCACCGACGTGAATTCGAACGAGAGCGGTCCGATCATGATCGGACGTGCGTGATAACAGGAGGACCCACGAGTTACGGTGGAGAAATCCGGCACGTTTGGCTTCCACAGCGCTGCAGTGGGGCCCACGGAATACGCGGGTGGGGCAACGGGTAGAGGAGTCATTATTTTAATAGGAGCTTTTTTGTGGGGCGCGCAGTGGTCCAATTGAGACACTGGTTTCCCTTGGGCTCACTCGAGACTCGGTCAACCACCCGAGTGAGCTGTCTCGATTGAAAGCCAGATGGACCATGTCGGCTGTGGTGGCCCATGCTGGGGTGCCAAATCGGGTACGAATGTGTTCGATATGGACCAAACTGATTGATCCAGGAGAGCTATTTGGACACTTTACCGTGATGAAATCGTCGGATGGTTGGGAAGATAGATGGGTGTCATATTTATTGTAGCATTGGGTCAAATCAAAAGAACGAACGATAGGAAATGTAGTCGATTTAGGCCGACCATTGTTCAGTTCTGGTAATATTAAATCCTGTAAAACTATGTTTAAATTAGTTTTAGATTATAAAATTTAACTTTATACCTTTTTCCATGTGAGAGATAAAAGAATTTTTAAAATTAGTTTGTTGCTCTCTCCAGACTTAATTATTTAAAATATGATAATATTTAACTAATTCTATTTGATCACGTGATGTTGAGGTATCAATTGACATTGTGACGTCGATTACATTGTGTTAAGAGGAGATATCATAAGAGAAATCTATAATCATAAATAACTTTAGGTTTAGAAATCCTCGTGGGATGTGAATGGTCTCACGAGGAAATATTGGATGTAAGAGTAACAAATAAAGCGAAGCTCTTTGACTGCATCAGATGGTGAAACGCTATGATGAGGATATGAACAAAAGCCACCAAATCATCATCATCAGTTTGTGTAGAGGACTATGGTATTCCGCTCGACTTGATGCTCATGACGTTGATGAGAGATTGGGATTTAATTGAATCCCAACAATCTCATGGAGCAGTCTCCTGCTCGGTCATGCCCTCGATTTAATGTCCACCAGTACGTGGAAGGAGAAGCCACATACAGCAACGTAAACCCTAATTTATATCCTTGGATGGACAAGGTGGCAACATGAATGAGCAGGAAATGATTGTTGGTGTCTGCTTCTTGTAATGAATCGGGTTAGATGGATTTGGAGCCTACTTAATTCACGCTATGTAACAAAGCTTCTCACTGTCACTCACGGAAGGTTGGCAAGCCAGAATTAATCACCGCCATTTCTCCACCTAACACCATGAACTCTTCTCTGCCTATATAAGAAGCAGCAGAGCTTGCAGCAGCAATCCAACACAGCTGTCTCTACTACTACTTCCTTCTTCTTCTTGTCGTTGTCTGTGTCAATGGGGAGCTGCTCACGCTGCCCTACTCTCCCTCTCATCCTCCTCTTCCTGGGACTGATATCCGTAGCTCAAGTTGCACTCGCCGGACGTAAAGTTCCGGCCAATTCGGACACGAAGGAGACCGAGTTCCTCGGCCATGAAGGCACTGTACTGATTCCTGGTATCGGGCGGTACATGATCGGCAGCCATGAGATGCCTGGATTCCGTGGTTTAGACCACAGCATCCCAGCTGCAGCTACTGGCAAGTATCTTCCTGGGAACGATGACACCTTTGTTCCCAACCCCGGGTATGAGGTCCCCAATCCATTCCGCGGAGTGATCCCATGAGAGCATGCAGCAGAGTTGTAGTGGACTGCTAGCTTTGAATAAAACTGGTGAAGCTTCTTCACCACTGCTTCTGTTGGTGATCTCTGGAATTCTTAGATTGTGCTTGATGGTTTTGGTTGTAGAGAGTGAAAGAGTCATTGGGTTCTGTTGATGATCTCTGGAATTCTTAGATTGTACTTGATGGTTTTTGTTGCACAGAGTGGAGTCATTGGGTGACTTGTAGTTCATGGTTTTTACCTGTATCAATCACTGCATCGAGTAGCTGCTGTACTTTTCCTTCAATTGCCTGCATGCAAGAAGTAGAGTTCAGTTCAAAAGTCAATCTTCAGTGCTCAGTTAATACTGCTAATTTACCCTTTTTCTCTAAAGAAGAACTGCTGCTACTGTCAGATGCTTCTCCTGGCTCAATGATCATTTATTTCAGCTAACAAGTATAGAGGTCTGTAAATAAAGGATGAAAAGTTAGATATGCCCAACGGTTGTTGCCATTGGAGTTCCATCTATTCCAATATGTAACAGTAAACTAAGCTGGGCGAAAGATGTTCCAGATCTGACTAATTCTGTCTCAACCCAGAGCGGCGAGACATGAATGAATGAATGAAGAGATGGGCCCTGTCTTGATGATTTTGGTCACCAAGAACATGGTTGGTGGTAAGGTTGATGGCACTTCTTGTGTGGTGTAATCTGCCTTTGTAAGCAAATATTGGGAAAGAAGAGGCCAGATTGAAGGCATATTCATAGTGACAGGTTTCAGGGAAAAGTAGCATATCTCAGAATTCATTAGCAGATACTTATTTAGACATTTACTAGAAATAAGGTATAATTGTTGCATGAAAGTATTGATTGTTGAAGAACACAGATCGGAGAATATGGATGAAATGGTTGGCTTACACTCTTGAAAGTTATGGCAATATTAAGACTCCGGTCTTATGGTTTAGATTCCCAATTCTCATCTGCAAAAATGATTAGTTTGTCTTGTTTTATTACATTACATGCACAATCTCTCCTTGACATTCATTCATTATCAAGCTAGCTGTGGAATAGTTATTACATGCCAAACAAAATGAAACACCAATAAGACAACAATGGGTTGAAAAATTTGTATCAGAAATGCAAAATAATGTAGTATCTATCTCATGTCAATTTCTACAAGTTCTTACAGTACAAAGTTAGTAACCATCATCTTGGAAAAAATCTAAATACAAATCAGAGAATTAGCTAACTCCAATGGTGATCGCCGCAAGTCCATGAAAATAATACTTGCGGCACAAAACTAACATCTATTCCTAATTCTGTTTGTCAATGAATGCTATTCGGGATTGTTACTTCATAACCCTTCAAACAAAATGCTGCAACTTTATTATCATAACGCTTATATCATCTAGTGATCCTCGTGTAGCCGATAAATCCACAAGCTTTTTGCAAGCAGACAATGATGATGAAGTGTCGGCATCGATACACAATGGTCGAGCTATATCTACAGCCTCCTGATTGCTAACCTGAAAAGAATTAGGAGTAGCATATTGTCATCTTCACTCGAGAGAGCAGAGATAAAAGGAGAAAGGTTTTGCAGTCCAACAAAAGATAGATAAACCCAAAGAGCAATTGTACCTTGTCCCATAGCCCATCAGATGCAAGAATTAAGAACTCGCATTCAGCTTCAATGTTAATGATTTTAGTCTCCGGCACCGGTATCACCCATTGTTTCAGATGCAAATCTCCAATTCCCCTGGATACAGCAAGGGAACCTTGTAACCTCCATGTGCCTCGGCAGTAATCCACATAGCCACCCTGCATAGGATGTACACCATGCTCATGAGCAAATTTTTTCAAGGTATCAAATTGCAAAGACATATTATTTTTGCATACATTTTCATGATCATCTTAAGATCAATTAATAGTACTGAACCCACGCTAAGTTACTCTGAATCAAGAAGCATCAAATGTAAAGTTTCAGCAAATTTTGCTGATTCCATGCTCTGTTAACAGTGTCATCAGCTGATACTAGCATCAAATCTTAGTGATCAGGATTTCTCGTCGGTCTCATTTCTCATCAATCTAAGTAAATGGTGGTACCCTAATTCATGGAAAAACTAAATTGATTGAGGTCATTAACCAATTCGTTCATGGCATACAGGAAGAAATCCCTCCCACACATATCAACAGTCATATTATCAAACTATGGAAAAGAAGGGATGAACCAAATGATGTAGAAATACTTACAAGGCTCTCAATTCGTTCCCTTTCATCTTTTCGAGAGGGCCGGTGGTCGGATGTGAGGGCCTCTGCTTTACCCGCTCGGCTCAATACGGCTCGGCAATCGCCAGCATTTGAGACAATAAGATCACCATCTATGAGCAAGGCGGTCACGCAGCAAGCACCTCCATCCATTTCCGCCTTCAAGAACTCTGTATCGGTTTTCATATATCCAATCCTAACAGCTTCCTCCATAGCGCTGGAGCTTGCTCCACTTGTTGTCGACACTTGTTCGATTATAAACTTTCCCATGTTCTCAGAAGCAAATTCAGCGGCTCTCTTGCCACCATGCCCATCAAAGATGCCGAAGAAAGACTGCGAACACAAAGGGGAGGGAAAAAATGAGATCAAGTTAGGACTTGAAGAATTCATGCCACAAATACATTGCAAATTTTCTAGCAAACCAAAATCTCAAGCCTTTAATCACCTATCTGTACCTCATCAAACCCCACGATTAATACTTTATGAACAAAATCCAATCTTTTACTGCTCAATTCACAGAGCAGAAAATTAGACCGACTTAAAGACCGCAAAAGCCAATCTTTAATTCGTTTGAAGTTTTCGCGCATAGAATTATCGACTTCTTATGATAATTATACAGAAAAATCTCAATTTTACGCCTAATCTGGACTCCAAAATATTTAGTTCAAGAACAGAACAAAGATAAATGAAACCCTCGAAGGACACCTACCAATTTGGCGTCTCCATTGGGGTCCAGCGTCACCTTATGCCGATCCTCCATCTCCAACCTCTTCCTCCCCCTCTTGCAATACATCGAATACCTCACGCTTTCCGCCTCCACCTCCTTCTTACCATCCGATCCCTCGGACGCGAAGGGCAACCCCTCCATCAAGGGGATATCAATCCGCGCCGGCCTTTTCCTCTTCAACACCGACCCCAACTCGGCCGAAGCCGGAGGAGGCGGGGAGGACCTGGCCGTGTCAACGGAGGGCTCGGCGGGTGAGGCGGCGCCGATTCCGGCGTTGATCGCCCGCAGCCCTCTTGAGGCTCTCTGAAACCGCGACCGGAACGGGGAGGACGAGTACGACGAGGCGGCGGGCGAGCCCGTGTTGAGGGAGAGGGCTTCCGGGGACCCCTTGCACGAGATCGAGATCCGAGTTGGGGAGAACACAGGAGAGCTGGCGATAGCCACAGAGCACGACATCGTCTAGTCTTCTCTTCCTTTTTCTTTCTGATGCCAAGTCGCTTCCTTTCACTAAATTGGACTCGCCGTCGGAGAGCTGCTATTTATAGCGCTCGAGTGTCAGTAAAATGCTCCTCAAGAACTAGCGCTAGTAGATTTGGACGATTGAGATCATCTGACAGGATCAGAAGGATCTGATAGAGGTTGGACTTATCGATCGGTGCCGGATGAAAAACAGAAGCCCGAAAGGGCACTGGATCGGAAGATTTGGCAGATCAGTCAAAGCAACGTAAATGGCGTGTTGGCGAAGGTGTGAGAAGTCCGACCTTTCCTTTCCAACATTGAGACGCGGTCGCTTGAAGCGATCTCTCTAAGCAAAGAGTAACGTGTCACCCGTCCTCGCTCGGCTGACTCACCCACCTCTCCATTTGACACGCTATCGGGACCCACAAAGGACCTCCAACCAAAGACAGGACGAGGAACGAGTACGAATGGAGTGGGTAATGGAAGTGTTTTCTGGAAGGAGAGACTTCTTTCGCGAACACGCAACACCAATCTAACCACGACAGATCATGCTGCGAACGCGTCGATCTGTTGCGTGGCACGCCATGAAATGACGATCCCCGTGCCTGGTTGGTCCGAAACGAGAGAGATGTTGCGACGGGTGACCGGGCTACTAAGAATCTTGGGTCAAAAGTGGAGCTAATGCACGTGATCGACAGCTCGGTGGGGTCCGGAGAGCCGAACGTTAGGAGAAGTGACAGGAGTATAGAAATGAAAATAAAAATACGACCGTTGGAACAGAGCAGGAAGCAGACCGTTGAGCCGCGCACACGCGTCCTTTAATTGTGGTGCCGCCATGTAGCCGGGCAGCTTCCACTTGTTCCGACGTAGCGGCGACAGAGTCAACCAAATGCTTTACTACGGTCGCCGCACACGCGACGACTTACAAGTCGCCCTAATTCGCGTTGCCCGACACGGTAATGAACGTTAAGAGTGTGCAATAGGTACGGGATAAAGTATGCACACGGTGAAGTGCTGGTATTGCATACACGTAATAATTGGAGATATATGCAGTCGATAAGAAAGTTACTATTTCATTATTTTTTGTTCATTTGAAATTAAGGTAGAATCCAAAAATAGGTCATGAAAGGTGATAACATTTGTTTGGAGGAGCAAAAACAAAGTATTATCTAAAGAAACAATTGTTCGACACCTCCTATGTGTCAACTAAGCAGCCTTGCTTTGCTGCAGACACCGTTGACTAGTAAAACAGTCTATAAGGTAATTAAATTCTTATTAACATGCACAACCATTTCAAAGTATCATTTGGTTATCCAAGGCGAATCGTATAGCCAAACAGGGATCTATGGTTGTTTGGTCTTTGACATGGTCAGAGCAAGTCAAATTAAATTATCGGATTATGTTTTATGGTCAAATAAGAAGTTTCTGTACATTTGGTAGCTGAAGTGATTCGATCTAGATCTTCCAAATTACCACGTCCTAATCTAGTAGAAACTCGAACGGATCCGACTTCAGTTATTCCCAAGGTGAGAGGATGCAACATCTCTTAGTGACGGTGTTGCTTTGAATTCTTCATCTTCGTCTTTGTTTTACTTTTATTTTTCTTTATAGGATGGCGGGAGAATCTACTTTAGATTTAGTCAATTACACGTGACTCGTGAACCGACGTCAACGGTCTTTGCCCGACTGCATTCACGTTCCAACACGAGGGTGGACTATGTCTCGGCCGCTCAGCCATGTCGTACATCTCTGGGTCCCACTGCCAGGGCATTTCTGCCTTCAACTGTAGAGCAGGTCGGTGAGCGGGCAAGAAAAGAACGAGAAGAATGTTGTCCGTTCGTTCCTCAGAGGGGACTGAGTCCATCTACAGAGTTGAGCTCAGCTCGTCTTCTCAGTGTCCGCCGCAAGCCTTCTGCTGGCCCTGAGAAAAAGGTGTGAGCTGCCGGTCTCCTTGCATGCAAGCAGGCACTCGTGTCGCTCCATCCAGAGAGCAGCGCCCGACACGTTGCTTGCAATCGTGTCGCTCCAACCAGAGAGCAGCGCCCCGCACGTCCGAGCGCTCACGACCTCGCTATCCTCCAACTAAACTCCCAGGTGGCGCCGTCTCCTCCCGCCCCGCACCGCCCTTGCTCCTCCATTTAACCTCGCCATCGCCATTGGCAGCAGCTCATCCGAGTGTCGTCAGATGCTGAGGCAAGTGGGGATCGAAAGGCTTTCGCGCGGGTGGTGGTTGCGTGGTGGTTGCGACGAGTGAGAAGGATGTCGACGGAGCAGGAGAGGCGGGAGCTCGACGAGAGGGCGAGGCGGGGCGAGACTGTCGTCCCTGGTGGGACGGGAGGGAAGAGCTTCGAGGCCCAGGAACACCTCGCCGAAGGTCCTGTTCCTAAGTTCTATAGCATAACAGTACGTACTCTCACCAGATATGGATCGAGTCGCTTACAAACGGTGGTTCCTCGCAGGACGGAGCCGTGGAGGGCAGACGAGGAGGGAGCAGCTAGGAACGCAAGGGTATCAGGATCTGGGGCACAAGGGAGGGCAGACGAGGAAGGAGCAGATCGGGGTTCAGGGGTACCAGGAGATGGGGCGCAAGGGCGGGCTGTCCACCACGGAGGAGTCGGGAGGAGAGCGGGCGCGGAGGGAAGGGATCGAGATCGACGAGTCCAAGTTCAGGATGCACTAAGCCTTGCGCTCGTGGATAGCGTTTGTAGGTAGTGTTGCTTGGGTCGATGTAGCAAGTACGGTTTGTAGTTTGTGTGATGCATGCATCTCGTGGCCTTTTGCCTCAGCCATGAGCTTCGACTCCAAAACCATGTAATAACACTAACGAGTTGTGGAGCTTAACATGCATGACGCAGTGGTCCGTGTCTCAAATATGTTCCGTCCGATAACTCAACGGACGGCCATCTAATAATCCAAAAAATAGTCACAGGAGAGGAGTCTCGTAACACTGCATAAGAATCGTTCCCCCTATAAAAAAGTACTTTTCTTTTGCAAATTTACAGAAAAATACAATGTTGCAGAGTAGTTGCAGTCTGCTGTTAGTGATCACGCCATGGCCGGGAGGCGATCCTTGCGTAGAGGAACTCGTTCCAGGTATCCGGCAGTCCCGGTAGACACCAGTGGATGCAGTCAGCGTAGGTGGCGGGATCGGCCTGCTGCTCCGCCGTCAGCAGCTTCCCTTGCCGGAGGGTGTGCACCGAAGTGTGCGCGTCCTTGCGGTACTCCGACATCCCCGTGATCCTGACGAACGTCACTGGCACTTTCATCTTCTTGATCACGTTCTCCGCCACCACGAACAGCCGCCAGTCGGTGCCGACGTCGAGCGGGTGGGATAGGTTCGCCACCGGCTGCGTCTCCAGCGCGCACTTGATCCCCTTGGGGTCGTCCCAGTCCGTGCTCCTGCAATTGTTACCAGATGTTACGCCATTGTACTGTACCACGCCACATGTTGGCACATGGCAACATGCAATTGACGAAAAGCCACTGCATGCGTGATGGGATTGGCATAACCACAAACAAGTCGAGACGATTCCTTCTTCCACGTCTTGTGGGTCGTCTTTGTGGCCTTTTTAAAGCACGAACGAGCTGTGGAGTTTCCCATCACCGCATTCTGATTCCGCTACCTTCAATCATCTTTCGTTAACTAACGTGGCACAAAGGAGCCTTCTCGATCCAAAGTGGCGGTGGGCCTTCGCCGTCCTAAAAGTAGCTTTCTATGGCGACTGTGCGTAGCCTCAAGTCGAATTGCCTTGCGGGGACGGAGTTGAATTATTGCTGATACGTGGTTCTGACTCCGTCAACCATCCCCATATTGATTGGTCGTCCATCATTAAATTCATACAAATAATGCAGTAAATGTCACGAAAAGCTAGAATGATTTGATCCCAGGACACCATTGTCAACGCCACCTTGGGGAACGATGATGTATTACGTTGAATGGTAGTACTTAAAATCTCAGAACTTGTGGATCAGAGCCTGTGGGCACTCAGCGTCTCATTTAATCTACTGTCCTGTATCATTGTATATAATCTAGGGTTGATGATGGGGTTGATCGTACCTGATGTGGTTGGGTGACATGCTCATGAAGAACACCATGGTCCGGTTGAGATCTACGTTCTTCTGCACCCACTTCGACCATGTGGTCAACACTCTCCTGTACGCCAGTGGCCGGTCGACCTCATCGTACTCCGTCGATCCTTGATCGAAGGATCCACGCCTGCAGACATCAAGTTCAGCTCATCACCAGCTATAATGGTGTCTGCCGTATGGCCAAGCTCGTCCGGTTAAAGCTACTCACAGGACTTTCATGGTGGGGGTGTTCAGCCACCAGATGTAGGTGTTGAAGATGAGGTAGTCCACGTTCTTCCAGTGCTTGCCGTGCTTGGCGATCGACTTGGGCATGATGATGCGGTTGAGGATGCTGTGCATCTTCGGGTTGTCGGAGTTTGACTCGACCAGGAATGGGGCCCAGTAGAACTCCACGGTGGCGTTGTACTCCTGCTCGCGTTAAAGAAGGCTTTGATTCCGATCGAGCCAGAAGGGGGTTTTGCTTGGTCGAGCAAGAAAGGGATTACCTCGATGCGGAACACGTTGAGCGAGCCGTTCTTGGTGAGGGTCTTCTTGTCCCATGGAACCACGGATTGGACGAGGCACACCATTGACTCCCACTGGTTCCGGTTCAGCGAGTCACCCACGAACATGAGACGCTTCCCCCGCAGCCTCTCCAGCATCACCCTCGCGTCGAATCTGTGTATCGAAGGAATCCAAATAAAGCCAGTTAGAATTGCTGGTAAGAGAGCAAAGCACTGCCGTCGATCGGCAAAGAACAGCATCGTACCGGGGCAGAGAACAGTCTCGAGGCTGCCACCGCCACTTCTGGTATCCGTCGTCCCGCCGGCCGTTCCTCATGCACGTCACTTGCTCCGTCAGGAACTGGCACTCCGGCTCCTTGTACACGGGGTAACTCACGTCGTCGTAGACCCATCGGCCAGTGAACAGGTCGCAGCTCTCCGGCACGTCGAGGACCACTCGTCGCCGTTTCGGCTTCGGCTCGGGCGCCTCCCTTGTCTCTTCATGCACTTCTTCTCTTATGACCTGCGACTCCACCACTCGCACGATGTCTTCCCTTTCGGGTGCACTCCGCTGTTCTTGCACCGAGGTCTCCATGCTCCTCTTGGCTTCTTTTGTTTGGTGGAAGCCGTTAACTTCTCGGTCGTCCTTCCTGCTAGGCTCAGCTATGGGGAATTCTTCGTGGGTGATGCCCGGAGACTTATCTCCGCCACTAGGACGATACTCGGCGATCGACTTGACGTCGTCGTTGTAGATGAACGTGAAGACGAGGAACACCGAGAAGACCATGACGAAGACGGAGTACTTGCCCCTTTTCCGGCCATTGCTAAACCAAGCCGAGTGCTTCACGTTGAACGTTTCCGACGCGAGAACCGATGGTTTCCGGCGAGGCAGAACCATCTCAGATTCAAATGAAGGAGAGAAGAGAAGAGAAGAAGAAAGCAAGATACAAGAGAGCGTTGAAGTTTGAAGGAGATGAGGAAAGAAATGAAGCAAACCCAAAGAATACAAAGGAGAAGAAGAAGACGATAAGGGAGTAGGTTTCAAGGGGTTTGTTGAAGTGAGGTTTTCTCGACAGGCCTTCCCGTTGGCTGGCTGCAAAGTGTTGCTTTCAGAGTTCCTTTAATGAGCTCACACCATGGGCCAAGAACAGCAGATGAGAGGATCAAATTGATGGACAAGATGAAGGAAGAAGAAGCGTCAATGAACAACAACATATAAGCTTCCAGAAGAGAGATAATAATTAGGTGGTGGTACTGCTATTGGAAGAACCCTAGGATGGGCTCCATCAATATTTTTTTGTTGTTGGGTAGGTTGCATCTTTTGGTGTAATTAGAATAGCCAAAGGCTGACAAGTCCTAACAATGCTGCGCTCAGATTCTTTGACCTCTCTCTATTCATGTGAGGAGACAAGCCACCTACTTATCTAATACAAGGAACTATTCTTTCCTTGTAGTTGCTGGCTGGCAATAGCACATGTATTTGCAGCTGGCATTATTTCATATGTGGAATGATCCACCAATGGAACTTCTTTTACCTATGTAAGCTGCTAATTATACATAATCTCAAGTTTACAGCAAAACTTACATAAGTTTGCATGGAAATTTGATCAACAAATATATTATTGACTTTGCATATAAAACAATGTCTTGAGGGCCCCATGGTTTGTCACAAAAAGTTCAAATGTGAATAGCTAGCAGATGAATGCTTAGAGTTGTTTCACATGGACATTATTAATGTATTAATTTAGAGAACAATCACAGTCCATCGATGAAGTTGGTATTTATAGGAGTAAACTAAGTGTAAGGACAGCTTTGACTCTGCAAACATAAAGAACAAGTCCACATGTACTATATTGTTTGATCCTATATATAAAATGCATACAAATATTTCTATGACAAGGTTGTAAGTACTTGTAAGGCAATACAAGTTTCGATTTATATGTACTTGTAAGGCTTTGATAGGACAATATTAAATGCTCAAGTCGTCGAATTGAGAGCAGCTTTGCTGAAATCAGAATCTTAAAAGCTGGGGGGAGTGATCACTTTCTCTTGAAGCGAAGCAGTGCAAGAGAGTTCATCTGCTTCCTGTTTATGTTATCACACATTTCTACTACATGAGTGATGACAGGAATCATTGCCTTTTGATTGCAGTATGAGTAGTTAACATTGATTGTTGCTTGTATGATGAGATATCTGATCGGTAGGTGACAGTATGAGTTGAAGTGGATCTCCACATTCCCACTAGAACCACTTGCAGATTGGTGATGCTATGCTACAGTGTAATCTTCGTTGGAATATCTTCTTTTTAATATAACAGCCACGGGAAACATGTTCAGATGTGCTGGATGTGACAGATGCATGATTAATGAATTCCTTTTCATGGTTTAATAGATTGAAAATTTTGTTGATCACTTGTATATCACATGCTCATGGCTCATGATTATTGAATAATTCATCCTGGAATGAAAAGAAAAAAACAAAAACAAAAACAAACAAAATTTGCTGCCAAGTTGAGTTTACCTCTCAAAAAGTGTTTCTCTAGGAAAGGCACCTTAGCAATGCATGGGGAGCATGTGATCGGCAACAACTGTACCAGGTTGGTCTGCCATTTGATCATTGACTTGCATATCTTAATCCGAGAACATATATGGCAGGTGTCATGTGTTACAGAAGTGAAACTTAGCAAAGCATGGTGAGCATGCGATAGGCAACAACCATTACCATACCACGTCGATATGCCATTTGATCGTTGACATGCATATCTTAGTCTGAGAACAAATATGGCAGGTGTGATGTGTTAGATGTGAAACACCAATCAAATCGAGCGATGAAGACTCTACGATCAAGTCAACAATATGGGTGATACATATCGATAAGAGATTGACATATGAATTATCTTGGAACAATCAAAATTTGATTATACTAATTTGTACTAATCGATAAAAGTTGGATTTCAATTAATACTATTGATTCAATCAATACCGATCAATTGCTAGGATTGATTTAGTTCACATTGTCAAATTGATCATTTGAACTATTTCAAAGGATTTTTATATCCTTTTTATAGTATCATTCCCCTCTCAATCTCTTTTTCATTTACATATTTCTCTCATTCTCTAATTTACACTCTATTAAACCCCACAAAATTATGATTGGTAGATTGAATCAACTAGGAAAGAGAGGATTAACATGTAAATTAAGAAAAAAACTCTCTAATCAAATATATATTTTTTCATAATTTTTATTGATTTATGAGATGATTAAACCTATTCAATGTTCTTAATATCTAATATGTTGTTTGAGGTTTTTATGATGATAAAACAGGGTTAATTATGAAGTAATTAATGTATTTAATATTGTGATTAATTTATTTAATGTTGATTTAATTAAAATTAGAGATATATTGGGTGAAATCTTTATATTTCATGCATGGTGATTTACATGGTAGAATAGGTTTTAATTAAGTTTTTTAATAGTGTGATTAATTATTTTAATGATTATATAATTGAAATCATTATTAAATATACTAAATATAATATAAATATAGTTAATTACTTTCTAATTATTCATCTTTTATTATTATAAATATATCAAATAAAAATGAGTATCATTAATTTTCTTATTTATTGACGTGTGACAATTGGATAGAATCAGTATCATCAATTTTCTTGTATATTTGTAAAAGATGGATAATTTTTCATAAGTCAATTAATGTTTCTGATAAAATTTAAAATGTAAATTATATTAAAAACTTAATGACATCATGATAGAAGAGATTAGATCATAATATATTTTTTAGATATTCACCTAGAATGAAACTAAATTAATTTATAATTGACGAAAAAAAGAAAAATATTGTTTTGGACTCTATATGTAGCTTATTACATATATTTAATGTTGAAAGATATTAAAAAGTTACCACCATCGAGTAAGCATATAGCTTTGGCAAAATCAATCATAAAGTTTGTATATAATCATCATTGAATCTACATTTTAATGTAAAAATATATAAATTATGAAATATTCTAACTCGGCATTACTTGGTTTACTATAAATCAAGGTATGTAATACCGTACCATATCGGTGTTTTAAGGATGGCTCGGTACGATACGATACTGTGTACCGAGTAGTATGCTAGGGCGTACCGAGTGGTACACCTAATTTAGGTGTAAAACCCTTCGAAAATACCTGAAAAAAAAAGTTAGGATAGGGTTTTTAACTTAGAAATAAATATAGTAATAGCATAAGTTTAGTAAAATCAATGTAAATTAGGTTAGAATAGTATCACATATCTTTTTCGAGCTTTGAAGAATATCTTGTGCAAAGTTTGTATTTCAGTCCATTATGTAAACATACTTGTTGATTAGAAAGTTCTTCCTCTTAATCTTCCTAAATTAACCTCAATTTAATTCAAAAATCATTGTTTTGTAGAGTTTAGGAGAGTCTAAATATAAGAAAAAAAGAGTTTAAGATAGTTTAAGAAAGTATGAGAACGTAATTGAGTGAAATAGGGGAGAAGAAGAGTTTAAATACTATGAGAAAGGGCTCTAACGGTCAATTTGATCGTTGGAGCACTGTATCACTGTTACCAAGCGGTTTTAAATATTTCTTCCTCTTATTGTAGCACTGTAGCACGTTCTGTCCGATAATGGGCGGTCCATGTACTGGTATGCCGTCGGACCGGTACGTATCGCCCGTACCAAGTGGTTACTATTCAAAATTACATATCTTGCTATAAATTTTCTTAAAGTCAATCCAGCAAAAGAGGTAAAGTCTCAATGGTGATAGTTTGATTCTAAGTAAGATCGAACTATGAAAAAAAAAAAAAGGTAAAAATGTTAGGATCGGAGCGGCACTAAGATGGGGGGGGGGGGGGGGGTAATAGTGCAGCGGTAAAGTACGATAAACTTTTGACGATTTAAACACTTTTCGGAAACTTCGTA